CTGATCGTATCCAGGCGAGTGGACGAAAACTACTGATCGTATCCAAGCGAGGGGAGGAAAACTACTGATCGTATCCAGGCGAGGGGAGGAAAACTACTGATCGTATCCAGGCAAGAGGAGGAAAACTACTGATCGTATCCAGGCGAGGGGAGGAAAACTACTGATCGTATCCAGGCGAGGGGAGTAAAACTACTGCTTGTATCCAGGCGAGTGGACGAAAACTACTGATCGTATCCAAGCGAGAGGAGGAAAACTACTGATCGTATCCAGGCGAGGGGAGGAAAACTACTGATCGTATCCAGGCGAGGGGAGGAAAACTACTGATCGTATCCAGGCAAGAGGAGGAAAACTACTGATCGTATCCAGGCGAGGGGAGGAAAACTACTGATCGTATCCAGGCAAAAGGAAAACTACTGATCGTATCCAGGCGAGGGGAGGAAAACTATTGATCGTATCCAGGCGAGGGGAGGAAAAACTATTGATCGTATCCAAGCGAGGGGAGGAAAACTACTGATCGTATCCAGGTGAGGGGAGGAAAACTACTGATCGTATCCAGGCGAGGGGGAGGAAAACTACTGATCGTATCCAGGCGAGGGGAGGAAAACTACTGATCGTATCCAGGCAAGAGGAGGAAAACTACTGATCGTATCCAGGCGAGGGGAGGAAAACTACTGATCGTATCCAGGCAAGAGGAGGAAAACTACTGATCGTATCCAGGCGAGGGGAGGAAAACTATTGATCGTATCCAGGCGAGGGGAGGAAAACTATTGATCGTATCCAAGCGAGGGGAGGAAAACTACTGATCGTATCCAGGTGAGGGGAGGAAAACTACTGATCGTATCCAGGCGAGGGGAGGAAAACTACTGATCGTATCCAGGCGAGGGGAGGAAAACTACTGATCGTATCCAGGCAAGAGGAGGAAAACTACTGATCGTATCCAGGCGAGGGGAGGAAAACTATTGATCGTATCCAGGCGAGGGGAGGAAAACTATTGATCGTATCCAAGCGAGGGGAGGAAAACTACTGATCGTATCCAGGTGAGGGGAGGAAAACTACTGATCGTATCCAGGCGAGGGGAGGAAAACTACTGATCGTATCCAGGTGAGGGGAGGAAAACTACTGATCGTATCCAGGTGAGGGGAGGAAAACTACTGATCGTATCCCGGCGAAAACAAATCTAGTCCTTGTATCCAAGAGAAGTGATCAACTCAGGTCATCCTATCCAGGCTAGAAGACCAAATCTACTCATTCTATCCATTAGAGGAAAGCAAGTTAAGGCATCGTATACTGGCCTGGGAACTAAATCTACTCATTCTATTCAGACGAGGGGAGCAATTCAAGTCATCGCATCATGGCCAGGAGATCAAATCTAGTCATCGTTTCAAGAAGGGTAGATCAACTCAAGTAATCGTAACCTGACCAAGAAACGAAATCTAGTCAACGTATCCAGGCGAGGACACGAAGTCTACTCATACAAAAGGGGAGAGGAAATTCGGTTATCCTATAGACGAAATTTTATCATCGTATCCAAGCGAGGCGGGAAAATACATTTATCCTATCCTGGGCAGAAAAACAAATCCTGTCATCGTATGCAAGCAAGCAGATCAAGAGAGGAGAGCAATTTAAGGCATCGTATAATGGCGAGGGGTCTATGTCTAGTAATCGTATAGTCACAAGAAGAACAAACCTAATCATTGTATCCAAGAGAGTCGAGCATGTGAGGTAATTGTATCCTGGAGAGGAAAACAAATCTAGTTATCCGATCCAGGGGAGGAGAGCAAGTCAAATCATCCTATCCAGAAGAGTAAGTTAAGTCACTGTATCCTAGACAGGAGACCAAATCATGCCATCGTATACAAGGGAGCATACCAAATCTGGTCACCCCGTTCAAGAGAGGAGAGCAATTCAAGTCATCGTATAATGGCGAGGTGTCTATGTCTAGTAATCGTATAGTCACGAGAACAAACCTACACGTCATATCCAGACGAGGGGGCCAAAAGAGGCGGATAAATCAGGTAATTGTATCATGGCTAGGAGAACAAATCTAGTTTTCCGATCCAGTTGAAGAGGGTAAGTTAAATAATCCTATCCAGAAGAGGAAGTTAATTCATCGTATAAGGGCCAGGAAACTAAATCTACTCATTCAAGTCATCGTATCCTATCCAGGAGGCCAAATCATGCTATCGTATACAAGGGAGCGGACCAAATCTGGTCACCCCGTTCAAGAGAGGAGGGCAATTCAAGTAATCGTTTCTTGGCGAGGGGTCTATGTCTAGTAATCGTATAGTCACAAGAAGACCAAACCTAATCATGGTATCAAAGAGAGTCGAGCAAGGGAGGATAGCAAGTCAAATTATCCTCTCAAGAAGAGTAACTTAACTCATCGTAACCTGGTGAGAACAAACTTACTCATCCTATTCAGGTTAGAAGACCAAAATTAGTGATATTATTCTGGCGAGAAGAGCAAATGGAGTTATCGTATCCAAGCGAGGAGAACAAATCTAACTAGTAGAGAAGAGATCAAGTCATCGAATCCTGGCCCGGAGAACTAATCTACTCATCCTTTCCAGGCGAGGAAACCAAACATAGTTATCGTATCCTGACATGAATAGCAAATATATTTATCGTATCCTCGCCAGGAAACCAAACCTACACGTCATATCAAGACGAGGAGGCCAAATCTAGTCATGATTGTGTCTAGGCGAGGGTAGTAAGGCAACTTATCGTAACCTGAATAGAGGTGGAGACAAAACTTCTTATCGTATCCAGGCGAAGAGTGCAAATCTAGTCATCATATTCTGACCAGAAGACCATATCTAGTCGTCATATCCAGGTGAGGAGGGCAAATCTAGTCATCGTATTCTGACCAGGAGACCATATCTTGTCGTCATATCCAGGTGAGCGGGGCAAATCTAGTCATCGTATTCTGACCACGAGACCATATCTAGTCGTCATATCCAGGTGAGGAGGGCAAATCTAGTGATCGTATTCTGACCACGAGGCCATATCTAGTCGTCATATCCAGGGAAGGAGGGCAAATCTAGTCATCGTATTCCGACCACGAGACCATATCTAGTCGTCATATCCAGGTGAGGAGGGCTAATCTAGTCATCGTATTCTGACCAGGAGACCATATATAGTCGTCATATCCAGGTGAGCGGGGCAAATCTAGTCATCATATTCTGACCACGAGACCATATATAGTCGTCATATCCATGTGAGGAGGGCAAATCTAGTCATCGTATTCTGACCAGGAGACCATATCTAGTCGTCCTATCTATTGCGCAAATCTAGTCATCGTATTCTGACTATGAGACCATATCTAGTCGTCACATCCAGGTGAGGAGGGCAAGTTAATTCATCGTTTCCTTTCGAAAAGACCAAACTTACGCATCCTATTCTGGTGAAGAGATCAAATCTCCTCGTTGTGTCTAAGTGGGGATAGTATGTCCAGATATCTTATCTTAATCAGGCAACTAAATCTAGTCATCTTATCCAGGTTAGTTAACCAAATCTAGTCATCGTATCCAGGTCACTTGGCCAAATCTATTCACCGTATCCAGTCCATGATATCAAATCTCGTCACCTTGTCCATGCCAGGATATCAAATCTAGTCACCGTATCCAGGCCAGGAAAGCAAGTCAATTTGCGCAAATTAATTGAGACCACCGAATTACTAACCTTTCATTCACCATACGGCCAGTTTTAGACCCACTGGAGTGACAGGGCGTAATCGATTTCTATTTTTTCTCAGATTAGGTTTATTTGCAGTGGTGTGTAGTAATATGAACCTCTTTTCGAGGTGTATGATGAAATGTGTTTGACCTGGAAAACTATTGCCTCATCCGCGATTGCATCAGATTTTTAGCACACCCAGACACTATTGTCTCGAATATCGATTATTTGTCCTATGGCCATTGTCTGCAATGACGTTACTCCAAGAAAGCGCACGGGCATTGTAATGCTGCACGAACACATCAAAGTATTATAGACTGGCTCGGAAACTCTCCTGATTGAAATCCAGTCAAGAATCTGTGATCAATCTGCAAGGAACGACAGCGTGGAAAAAATAATCCCTCACTATAAAGGTAGTTTACATTAACCAGAAAAAAAAGGCTTAGGCAGGAGCGTCTATCTTTTTAAATTTTGATTTTTTTAATGTAACTATAACAAAAACATTTCAATTTCATTTTTGCCTTGAAAAAGTCGGAAGACGAAACGCGTCGGCAAAATCTAATATTTTTTTCCAATTGTCATTTTATACCAATCTGTCTTGTCCACAGAATTCATCTGTGAATTTAACTATATATATATATATATATATATATATATATATATATATATATATATATATATATATGTGTGTGTGTGTGTGTGTGTGTATGTATGTAATTTGCACAAGGCTGTATGGTGGCCTTGATAGTCTCTCTAGGTCAGACCACCAAATCTACTCATCGTACCCAGGACAGGATATCAGATCTAGTAATCTTAGACAAGGGAAAGAGACTCTGCCAGATTGCACATCTTACCGTTGAAGCAGGCTGAAGAGTTTAACGCAGATAGAAATTTTTTTTTCAAGATGGCCGCTCTAACCATGATGAATTATTCAGTATATTACTGCAAAGTAAGATGTATATTCGAGAGAGAAGAATAATCCCTCTGCCCGCTACCAAAAATACTATTAGGAAAGTCGATACGAAATTACTTGTGGGGAGAGTTTAGGTAAAAGAGTTCTGCTGACTTTCAGTTCCTAACGACGCCCGTCATAGTCATGTCTTGAGTGCAAGTGATAATAGGAGTAAGGTTTTTTTCTCACAGAGGAAATGTCTGCAATAGCGGAATCAGACGTTCGTGTTGCAGAAAGCACTGGGAGTAAAGGATTAAAGAAGACGGGGATGAATCTCTCAAGAGAAGGAATAGTGTAGGGAAATTATAGAAAATCGTTAGAAAAAGTTGGAAAAAGGAAAAAGAGTTAGAGGAAGGGAGGGAGAAAATTTAGGCTAGAAAAAAATTGTAGATAGAAAAAGAGTTAAGAAAAAGAAAGAAAGAAAGAAAGAAAGAAAGAAAGAAAGTGATTCGTGTTGAAAGAAAATATTAAAAAAATAGTTCTGTTGAAAGAAAGAAAGAAAGAAAGAAACAAACAAACAAACAAACAAACAAACAAGGAAAGAAAGAATGAATACTATTGTCCTTGAAAGAAAGTAAAATGAAAGAACGAATATGATTTTCATTTAAAGAAAGAAAGACAGTAATTAGTGTTGAAATAAAGGAAAACACTAGTTAAGAAAGAAAGGCGGAAAAATGAATACGATTGAAAGAAAGAAAGAGAGTGATTAGTGCTGAAATTGTTGAATATGATTGCCATTGAAAGAAAGAAAGAATAAATACAATTGATCTTCAAAGAAAGAAAGAAGAAACAATGAAATATGATTGTCCTTGAAATAAATAAAGAAAAACAGAAAGAAAAAGAAATAATGAATACAATTGATCTTGAAAGAAAAAAAAGAAAGAAAGAAAAATGAAAGAAAGAAAGAAAAATGAAAGAAAGAAAAAAGAAATATTGAAGGAATAAAAGAAAGAAAAAAGAAAGATAGCATATAAGAAAATTGAAAGAGAGAGAGTTATTAGTGTTGTAATTGTCGAATATTATTGTCATTGAAAGAAAAACAGAAAGGAAAAAAAAATGAAATAATGAATACAAACGATCTTGAAAGAAAGAAAGAAAGAAAGAAAGAAAGAAAGAAAGAAAAAGTGTCATTGGGAGAATGAAAGTGAGAAAGAATATAATTCTCATTGAAAGAAAAAAAAGAAAGAATAAATACGCTTTTTCTTGAACGAAAGAATAAAATGTGAGAAAGAAAAGTAGAAAGGAAGAAAAAAGACGGAACGAATATAATTGATCTTGAAAGATAGAAAGAAAGAAAGAATAAAAGAAAAAAAAAGAATATGATTGCCACTGAGAGAAAAAATAAATGAATGAATACGACTGTCCTTGAAAGAAAAAAAGAAAGAAAGAAAGAAAGAAAGAAAGAAAACAAGAGATGATACAATAATGGAAGCAAACAAGAACACTGAAATGAAGGAAATTTAAAACGAAAGAAAGAAAGCCGAATCAGGGAACATAAAAAGAAAGAAAGAAAGAAAGAAAGAAAGAAAGAAAGAAAAAAGAAAGAAAACAAGAGATGATACAATAATGGAAGCAAACAAGAACACTGAAATGAAGGAAATTTAAAACGAAAGAAAGAAAGCCGAATCAGGGAACATAAAAAGAAAGAAAGAAAGAAAGAAAGAAAGAAAGAAAGAAAGAAAGAAAGAAAGAGAGAAAGAAAGAAAAACAGGAAGAAAGAAAGAAAATGATATAATATTGTAAACAGGCAACCAACCAAGCAAGAAAGAAAGAAAGAAAGAAAGAAAGAAAGAAAGAAAGAAGTAAATGATATAATATTGTAAACAGGCAACCAACCAAGCAAGAAAGAAAGAAAGAAAGAAAGAAAGAAAGAAAGAAAGAAAGAAAGAAAGAAGAAAGTAAATGATATAATATTGTAAACAGGCAACCAAACAAGCAAGCAAGAAAGAAAGAAAGAAAGAAAGAATGAAAGAAAGAAAACAAGAGATGATACAATAATGGAAGCAAACAAGAACACTGAAATGAAGGAAATTTAAAACGAAAGAAAGAAAGCCGAATCAGGGAACATAAAAAGAAAGAAAGAAAGAAAGAAAGAAAGAAAGAGAGAAAGAAAGAAAATATGATAAAAGAAAAGGAAAGAAATTATTTAGTGTTTAAATAAAGGAAAATAATAATAGTTATATTTAAAGAAGCGAGCAAACAAAAAAAATAGAAGAAAATTGATATTCAATGAGACAAAAATACGCGAGATGAGAAAGAAAGAAATAATACGATTTTCATTGAAAGAAAGAAAGAAAGAAAGAAAGAAAGAAAGAAAGAAGGAGGAGACAACCGAAAATCCTAAGCCAATAAAACAAAAAAAAAACACGGAATTATTGGAAATAGGAGAATGGAAAACTTGGCCCTAGAAATCGGACGCATATTATCGACATTTTAAGTCTAATTAAATCAATCAGAAATATCAATTTCCACGCATCGCCTTCTCTTTTTTTATTGACCTGCTTTACTTATTGCAGGCTTCTGCTATCTCTTCCCAATCATCACAACAAGTCTCGTCCCACGCTATTCGACAAAGCCCCGCCCTGTACCGCCCTCCGATTAACAAACCCTAAATAACTACCAAGATCACGCAATAAGTGTTTCACAAACGTTGCCGCTGGGTATAAGTCTTTTCCTCCTATCCTTGAACAGGGAGAAAGGGACATGGAATTGAAATGATTATAAATCGATTTCATTGTTCTAACGGCCATTGACTTATGGAATCCTGCACGTGATTTTCAAACATTTTTACTTGCCTTGTTTTTGTCGCAAAACCAGATTTTAATTACGTTCACTGATTTTACTGTTATCCTAAATTGCGTTCAGCAACTGTCTTAAAATTGTCGAAATCTATTGTTGGGATTAGACAATTAATTAGTTGCTAATGGCAATCTGACATCATTTCAATTTGCAATACATTTTCATTTACATAGGATAATTCATACTTCTACATACACTCACACAAACATATTGTTTTACATTTCAGTGCATATATATATATATATATATATATATATATATATATATATATATATATATATATATAATTATATCAATAAATATTCAATAAAATTAATGTTGGATCAGCAATTTAAACTGAATAGTTTCTGACCAAAGAGGAAGAAAATAATAATTTATTAAAATTTATTGAAATTGGTTTAAACTGTTCATTCACATTTACGACTGGTTACCCATTTCCGAATATGCCTATGTGCTAGAGGGAGTACTCTGGCGGGAGCGGACATGTTTGCGCTGAAATATAAGCTAAACTTCAATCACGGGACCACGCGAGTACCAACCATAAGGACTCGTGAGCAGAAGCCGGTATTAACGATTCCGAGCCATTATCCTTTATACCACCCGCATATCCAAGCTTCCCAAGCTGTCACCCATCTTGCTTAACTTCGGTGATCGTATAATATCAGTGTTTAACGTGATGTGGCCGTAAGGCTATGCATTATTGTTGGGATAGTGTTGCACCCATAACAAGTTAGAGAATCACTGGGAAATGTCCGACTGGTAATTGACTTTGCCTTCTTGAAAGGTATAGGATTAATGACAAAAAAGGGGGTACCGTGTGTAACAGCAAAATTATCCCAATCATGTAAACAAGAAATTGTCCATTTGCTAGATAAAGCTTTGAACTTTTGTATTTTAGAAATGATTAAAGATATCTTACTGGAATTCATCGAGGTGTTTATAACACTATTGGACTCTACCTTGAGAAATAAGAATGTATAATTTACTCTCCAAGCTTAACAGAAGAATCATGATGAAATCGATCATAAACTAAAATGTCATGTTCATCATTAATTAATCATAGCTAAGGATCGGAAGCGCATGAAGAATTTAAATTAAGTATATATATATATATATATATATATATATATATATATATATATATATATATATAACATTCCAGAATCATTTTTATTCAAGATTATCTTCGCCCTTTCTAATTTACTAACGTTCTGTCCCAGAGTAACAACGGGCGTCGCGTATGATTTCAATTTCAAGTCTTTTTTTAACTTTGGACGGTCATAGCTGGAACTCTTCTCTCACATGTCTAACGACATATGGATTGAATTGCATCTTTTCTAATTGATCTCTTTAGCTCTAATTTGAAATGATGATCCCTCTTCCTCTTCGATTGCTCCCTCTTTTTTAAAACTTATTCGCCGTTCTATTGATGGTTCTTGAATGGACTTTGAAGATGGAAGCCAGACTATGAATGTTCCTATCATTACTGAAGGTCTGAAGTGGGGCTGACACAAAATAATTTTAACCTGTTCTCTTTCTAGCTGAATAACTCAAAGGTTTTTTTCAGGGATTCTTACGCCAAATGGCGTTAAGATGGTTAAACGTCTTATCTGAAAACCTGGAAAAAGAAACTCAATTAGTTTAGCGTTTTTTTTAGATATTAAACATTGCGATGGATAATTACGTTGTTGAACGATTTGGACAATTTTGCTGTGAAACCTGTATATGCAAAATCAGAGAAAAATGAACAATGTTATTGGGAGAACCGAAATAAAAATCTTAGAAAAAGAAGGAAAGAAACACCCAGGAAGAGAAATCCACTCTCCTTGGGTGCTATACCCGCTGGTGTCAACGGCATCCTCGATAGTTGTTCTCCAGTGGAATAATCCATAACTTTCGAAATCTATTGTGTTGAAATTTGGCAATTAATTGCACGCTCATGGCAATCTGACTTCATTTTAATTTACAGTACATTTGCTTTTGCATACCCTAATTCATGCAAACAAGCATATTTATATGCACACACATATATAATTTTAAATGTAAATACCCGCTAACAGAAAATTATATCAAGTGTAATTCTGCAATTTAAACTGAACATTTACATAATTTACATTATTCGGACTGTTATCCTCATCTTCATTGCCATATTCACAACCTTTCGACCTCTATATCTCTGAAATGAGGTATTATGATTACTTGCATTACATACATTACTTGTAGTGTTATCCTCATCTTCATTACCATATTCACAGCCTTTCGGGCTCTGTATCTCTGAGTTAAGGTCTTATGATTAGTTGAATTATTTACATTATTCTGCCTATTATCCTCATCTTCGTTGCAGCCGTTGTATGCTCCGGCCTTCTTCAGGTCATTAGAATTTCGAATCGAATCCTTTATTTCGTCCACCGGCGTAGATTCAAATACTAATAATTATAATACTATTCTCTACTGTTTTTGTATTGATCATTGTTTTTTTTAAATAAAAATATCTACGAAGAACACCGGATTGTAAATCTGACTGTTCTTTCTTATTATAAAATATATATATATATATATATATATATATATATATATATATATATATATATATTATATTGAGACATGTTTCGATGAAAAATTTATACATGTTCTGTGCACTTATTTTCAATAGGATCCTTTCATATTCGCGGATGGTTTCATTTTTGAAGGGCAAAAGAAAATCACCGTGTTGATATATATATATATATATATTTCTTATATCCGAGTACTTTCGACATAGCAATGTTATCATCAGAGAATCTCTTATTACAAGATAAATCTAGTAGTGTTTTATTGTCAAAGACAAACTGTTGTGTTCCGCTGAAAGTTAAATTTCATGCAAGCGGAGTGAGGAACGATGTGTCAATGAGTGACCGCTGAAATAAAACCGTAAACACACACACACACACACACACACACACATATATATATATATATATATATATATATATATATATATATATATATATATATATATCACGGTCCGGTTCCTTGTACTACGGTGATAGTCCAAGGTAGAACCAATAAAGAAGAACTCGAACACAGGTAGGGAATAACACAGATATATTACAAACAGGAATATATACAGAGAAGTAGAAGAGTTAGTCCGAACAATCAGGTTTAGTAGAGAGAACAATGTAGTCTCGACCAATATCACTATTCCAATGTCTTGCGGTAATTGTCTGAACGCGACTCTGTTTCGGACTGCCTCTGACTCGACTCTTGACTCGACTTGAACTACGGACTCCTTGCCTACTCCTGAGGCGCAATATTTATTAAGTATGGAATAGTCCATTATTATTATTATTATTATGGATAAGATCCCATAACACACACACACACACACACATATATATATATATATATATATATGTATGTATGTATGTATGTATGTATCCGTGAAATATACGCGTATATGTATATATTTCTGTATTTAGACAATCAAACGATGGAAGAAATGCCCTGTAACAGTGAAAATCACTTTTATTTCCCGAGTACTTTCCATCATTTTCTGAGATGTTCTAAAATGCCGATAAAAGAACACTTTTCATGCTTCAATGTGCTCTTGACCATGACATTCTAACATAAAA